ACCTCAGCCTCCCAAAGGCGCAGGATTACAGGCTGAGCCACCGAGCCCAGCTATTTTTTATTTTTCATGGAGACAGAGCCTCACTGTGTTGCCCAGGTTGGCTTCAAAATCCTGGTTTCAAGTGATCCTCCCACTTCAGTCTGTCAAAGTTCTAGGATTTCAGGTGTGCCACTCCACCTAACATGTTTTGTTTTTTGTACACTGCAATTATTGATCCCTCCAGCAAGTGTGAAAAAAGTTAGAGACAATAGAAAAGACTCCATGCAGCCGGGCTCGGTGGCTCAGCCTGTAATCCCGTGCTTTGGGAGGCTGAGGTGAGTGGATTGCCTGAGCCCTCGGGTTCGAGACCCACCTGGGTAACTTGGCGAGACCTCATCTCTACAATAAATCAAAAAATTAGCTGGGCGTGGTAGCACACACCTGTAGTTTCAGCTACCTGGAAGGCTGAGGCAGAAGGATCGCTGGAGCCCAGCAGGTCGAGGCTGCAGTGGCTGGGAGCGGCCACTGCACTCCAGTCTGGGCGACAGAGTGAGACTCCAACTCAAAAAAAAAAAAAAGACTGCATGGACTTCGGGATGGGGTAATGGGTCTGAGGAATGAGTAAGGCTGTAAATTCCTGGAGCAAAGTGGCAGGGGAGCTCAGTGTCAGGTTGGGCACAGGGGCGGGAGCCCAGAAGTGCACCATGTGATACGCAGCCACAGCTGTATATGACTATGTAAATTTTAATTAAAATCAAATAGAATGCATAATTCCATTTCCAGTCCTACTTGCTGCTTCCAGGTACTCAGCAGCCACACGGGCCCAGGGACCACTGTACCAGACAGGGCAGATGACAACCCATTTCTATCTGCAGAGAAAATGCTACTGGACGGAGCTGTCCCAGGAAATCAGCCTTCTGGCAGGATACTAAGATAGACTACACAGTTTGGCCTCTACAGTTCACAAGTCATTTCCAAAGGAGCTGTCAAAACTTCCCCTTAGAAGTCCTAGGAACATTCCCAATGGGGACCACTTTGTTTTGCTAGGCTCCAATTCCTGAAAACGAAGCCAGCAATCAGCCTTCTCGTGCTTGGCCCGCAGGCTACGGTCTTGTCACAATCTGGCAATCACTTTAAAATTTTCCACTCCTAGCTGGGCTCGGTGGCTCAGCCTGTAAACCCGTGCCTTTGGGAGCCCGAGGGTTCGAGACCCGCCTGGGCAGCGAGACCTCATCTCTACAATAAATCAAAACATTAGCCGGGTGTGGTCGCGCACCTGTAATTCCGGCTACTCGGAAGGCTGAGGTGGAAGGATCCGGCCGGAAGCGGCCACTGCACTCCAACTCAAAACAAAAAAAAATTTTCCACTCCTGAGTCGGCCAGAAGATGACTAATTGAAGACTCAGAAGACATCCACCACTATTGAGGGAAGGCCCTGAACCCAAACCCTAAATTAAAGCACCACCCCACCTCACCCCACAAAACAACCCAAAGGCTGCTGTACCCAGTAAAATCAGCCATGTAAACAAAGGGAGGAAATCTTTTATCTACAAAATCAGATGGAGCAAGGAAGCCACAGGGAAATAAAACGGGCCAGACCCCAGGAAACCCGGCCATAAAACCGTCTGAGAACAGGTTACTTCCCAGCCATTCCAGCTGCCTCATGATCATCATGCACTCAGCTCTTTAGTTTATGTCCAGTTCTAATCCAAAGTTTCAGTTGATGATCTCTAAACACTGTGAAGTGGGGTTCAAAATTTACCAGGAAACTGAAGATCAGAAAGATTATGCGTTTGAGATCAGCCTAAGCAACTTGATGAGACCTCATCTCTACAATCAATCAAAACGTTAGCTGGGTGTTGTAGCGTGCGCCTGTAGTTCCAGCTACCTGGTAGGCTGAGGCAGAAGGATTGCCTAAGCCCAGCAGGTTGAGGCTGTGGTGGCTGGGAGCATGCCACTGCCCTCCAGTCTGGGTGACAGAGTGAGACTCTGACTCAAAAAAAAAGATCATGCTTTTTTGGGAAAAAATTTGGCAAATGCATATAGTCAACAGTTGCACTGCCATCATTCCCCAGCAGATGTGCCTCTAAGAGCACATGGGGATACATGGGGAAGCTCTTCAGTAGGAGCAGCGGGAGCTTCCAGTCATTCACATAGTAGCCTGGGTGCCAAGGTGAATGCAAAGTTCAAATCAGCCAGGCACAGTGGCTCACATCTGTAATCCTAGCACTTTGGGAGGCCGAGATGAGAGGATTGCCTGAGCTCACACATTCGAGACCAGCCTGGGCAACCTGGGGAGACCTCATCTCTACAATAAATCAAAAAATTAGCAGTCATGGTGGCACTCGCCTGTAGTTCCAGCTAATTGGAAGGCTGAGGCAGAAGGATCGCCTGAGCCCAGCAGGTTGAGGTTGTGATGGCTGGGAGAGTGCCACTGCACTCCAGTCTGGGCAACAAAGTGAGACTCCAACTCAAAAAAAAAAAAAAAAAAAGTAAGTTTGATGAGAACAAGGACTTGGCTCATTTTGCCCACTTCTGTGTCCCAACTCCTAAAAAATTGCCTGACACTGTTATTGGTTGGCTCTCAATAAAAATACAGTGGCTCATGCCTGTAATCCCAGCACTTTGAGAGGCCAAGGCAAGAGGATTGCTTGAGCCCAGTAGTTTGAGATCAGCCTGGGCTATATAGCAAAACCTCATCTCTACAAAAAAATTTTCTAAATAAAAATAAAGAACAACTTGAGGTAAGGCAAAGTGGTTCATGCCTGTAATCTCAGCACTTCGGGAGGCCAAGGCAGGAAGATCACTTGAGGCCATGAGTTCAGGACCAGCCTGGGCCATATAGCAAGATTCCATCTAGACAAAAAATTTAAAAATTACTCAAGTGTGGTGGCACACACCTGTAGTCCTAGCTACATGGGGGAGGTTGAGATAGGAGGATCACTATAGTCCGGGAATTTGAGGCTGCATTGAGCTATGATCACGTCACTGCACTATAGCCTGGGCAACAGAAAAACACTTCGTCTCCAAAAAATTAAAATAGGCTGGGCCTGATGGCTCAGCCTGTAATCCCAGCACTTTGCGAGGCCAAGGCGAGTGGAATGCCTGAGCCCACGGGTTTGAACTAGCCTGGACAACCTGGTGAGACCTCGTCTCTACAATAAATAAAAAAATAGCCAGACATGGTTACGTGCACCTATAGTTCCAGCTACCTGGAAGACTGAGGTGGAAGGATTGCCGAAGCCCAGCAGGTCGACACTGGGGTAGCCATGAGTGTGCCACTGCACTACAGCCTGGGCGACAGAGTGAGACTCCAACTCAAAAGTAAATAAATAAATAAAAATAAAGCCGGGCTTGGTGGCTCAGCCTGTAATCCCGCACTTTGGGAGGCTGAGGTGAGTGGATTGCCTGAGCCCACGGGTTCGAGACCCGCCTGGGCAAGCTGGCGAGACCTCATCTCTGCAATAAATCAAAATGAGCCGGGTGTGGTAGCGCACGCCTGTAGTTCCAGCTACTTGGAAGGCTGAGGCGGAAGGATCGCCGGAGCCCAGCAAGAAGAGACCTCATCTCTACAATAAATCAAAAAATTAGCCGGGCGTGGTAGCCCTCTCCTGTAGTTCCAGCTACTTGGAAGGCTGAAGCGGAAGGATCACCGGAGCCCATCAGGTCGAGGCTGCGGTGGCCG